GTTGTTATAATACTTATTATGGTATGTTACATATATATGATTCTCTCAACTGTAGAAGTTTACCAACAAAATATCATAGTTTTAATATATTATTACAAATCTCTATATACAAAGCTCATTTTTGGAATTTGATTTTATATAATAGGACTCTATAAATTATAGATAATAATTCTGTAGTTCTAAACTCGATCTTATTGGTATCGGTTTTTTACGATTCGATCCTTAGTTGCAATACAATAATATTAATACTGAGATAGTAATTATTTATTAGAAACAAATGTTTTCAATTTATTTATTGATTCGCATTGTTCAAAATGACAAGAGTTAATAAACTAACTGTCCAATGTAAAGAAACGCATATAGGTAGTCCAAAAACATCGATGTCTACGATTTTTTTCGGTTTAAAATAAAATTAGTGACAGAGTTTTTTCTTTACTTTCATAATTCAAATCTGTAAAGATACAAATTGGTCAAAAACCTTTAACATCATTAAATATTTTTATCAAGAACATCCATACTAGGGAAAAATGAATAGTTATTAAGTAAGAATACGTCATGTATAATGTATATAGGTAATAGAAAAACAAATGTTTGTTTCAAAATTATTAAAATATTAACAGTAACTAAATATTACACAGATTAATAAATTAGTTAGACTTCTATACTTTACTTTTAATAATTATTACAATTGATTACATTTTATCTTGAATTTTTTTGATTAAAGGAAATCTTAAATTAGTGAGAGCAGAAACCACTTTCAAAATACAATCACGTTGAGGCAATAGTAATGTAGAAATATGATTTAAAATCGTATAACATTTAATCTTACGTACTTTCAACGTGTATTCGAGTGCAGATAGTTTCAGTTAAATAAATTTGTTTCTAAGTAAATTGTGATGTATCAAGAAAGGGTGGTATATTTAGATCGACCACAGTTGGCAAAATATCTCTAATCAAGAACACTTGGTCGGCTAAATAATAATAATTATTATTAAAACCAATAGCAACCGAATGGTAAACAAAAATTTCCATCGTCAAAATACCTATTTGTCAACCTCCCTTGGTTGGACCTCTTATTTACCTTATTTCGCGACAAAATGTAGCCTGTCTTCTTCACTATCTCTGAGCCATCGGACGAACGGTTTAGCAACGCATAAAAGACATAGCTATGTACAAAAATTTTTTGTCTTTTATTTTTATAGATTTCAATTTTTTTTTATTTTTAATTCACAATATCAAATATATAATTTTATAATTTACTTTTATAATTTACTAGAATATAAAATTTAAAAAACACCAACACATTTTTAATCACTCTTTTGAGGCAGTCCTAAGTCTGTCTGAAGTGGGAAGGATTTTGAGTTGCAAAAAAACCGGAGACGTTTGGGAATTTTCCTTTTTGTATAACCGAAGCCGAATGGGCTTTGTAAACTCTCTCGGGTCTACTTCAATACTTGGTACCCGACGAGTGACGAGTAGGTACATGTAAACTTTCCCAAATTTGTTATAACTTCGTTTATATAGTATGTCATTATAAATGAGTTTGCAATTTGCACCATCACAATTCATAAGTACATATTAGTATATCTTTGTATTCAATTATTTGTCGATTATTTGATAATCATTATCCTGGCTAATTGACTGACAATAAATTATTATTTATAATGTTAAGACCTTATTTGTATAGCCCAAAAATACATACTTATGAATTTATTACAGATATATATAGCCACAACAATCTTGTGTCGAAAGGGTTAAATTCTAAACAGAATCGTGATTAATATAATATAATCTACTGATTTTTCTACCTATTTCATAAATAAAAACCAAGCTAAAGTAATTATGTTAGGGTTATGGACACTCTTTATCAAAATCTAAATTGTACATAAATAATTAATTAAATTTTTTTCCAAAAATAATGAATTTAGATATTATTAAAAACGTAATAAAAATATATTATCAAGATAGCTTTTAAGTCAATCCTTACGTAGGTACAGTAGAACAATGTAAATACTAAATTGGTAAGTGAAACAACTGCTCAGAATCTAAAAAGGAATGTTTTATTAGCTTAATATAATATCGCAATGTGTTATATGTACCTATTCAAATATCAAAACTGGTACGAGTTGTATAGGTACTATCGAAAGAGTAATCGATTTGAATTTTGATGCAAATTACAATAAATTCCTATTTCTCACTATCTGAAATGGGGCAAATAACATATATTCATTTTGGTGCAAATTACAAACGCTTTTCAAAAATGTTGGCCCAAATTATATAATATATGTTGTATATATTTTGGGTAAATTTTGGTGCAAATATGATTACAGCCCATTATAATAATATTGTATCATTATTATTTAATGTTTATAATAACACGTACATACACATTTTCAAACTTTAATATACATTTAAAATGAATTTTAAAAAATTTGTTTATATAAATTATAGTAAATAATAAAAAAAAAATAATACAATGGGGAGAGTGGGCCACTGTACATTATACCAATCCACATCTTATATTCTCGGTAGATAAAGGTATAAAGCATAATATTGAATAACAACCTTTTTTTTATTTTTTAACAATATTAAATAGTAGCATTTTTCTTGATAAAAATTAAGCGAATCTTAAAGGTATACTAATCGAACCATATTGAAGCAACCCCCTCAGCTTTTGCATTCGTCAACCTACTACTCTCAGGATCATCAGTATTATGAGTTAAGTAAAAATAACCATACTTCAGCCAGTAAAAGATAATATAGAGCAATATTTTCATCTAACACTTAATTTCCCGATTACGTTGGATACTTGGATTACATAGAAACTTTTTTCTGACAAACTAAGGTGGTACTTACATACTGAAGTTCATATTATTATATTATAAGTCCGCACATGCGCAGTATAACTGGTATTTATTTTTATTTTATAATAACTACACCATTTTTTCATACTACATTTGGTTAAGCCTGTTTTTTTAATCATATTGACTAAAATATCGGTCTACAATTAAACAATTTGCCGAATATGAAGGCCAGTTCAAATTTAAACATAAATACGTTTTTTCTTAATTTTAAAATGCTTAAATCAGATCATTATTGAATTTATTTAAGAGGACGTCGTACCCGAATGTGTTGTCTCCGTCTTACACAAGTACGACATGGCAAATTTTCATTCACCAGTTTCAATTTTGTGCTGTTAGTTTTGTTATCAGAGTGAATTAACCTATTATAACATTTAAAGGTAAAATATTTTAAGTTATGACCTTCTTGAAACTTACATTTTAAAATGATCATAACTTACTTAAATATATTAACATCAATAAAAGCCTACGTGGGGCCCAAGATAATAATCTAACGTTTAAATTGAATAACAGGTCGTATATATGTAAGACGAAGACAACACATGCGGGTACGACGTCCTTTTAATATTTTAAGGTAGAACTTTTTTTTAAGATATTGTAACCCTTTCAATACCTACAGAATTCGTTTTATCCAGTATTTACACAACTGTGCTGGAGTAAAATTATATTTTTTTATATACCTATATAATATATTTTTAGTCAGTATATTTTAGCAGATTCGTCAAGTTACAGCGACTGGTACTATAACTTCTCGGATTATCACATTAGGTAATGGAAATGGCTATATATAATTGTTGATTTATAAAACGATGGGACGAGTATGTGTGTCTATAGCACCACAGAGTAAAATATTATTTTACTTATAGTATAAAATATTTTATTTCAATTACTACGGTTTGGTATTAAATAACAATAATAATAATTCAATCTTGAGATGTATCGAAAAATAGGTGTTGTTATTGAAAAAAATACTGGTCTTACCGAACGTGCACTTCCGAGAGAGTTTAACAGTTAAAATGTTCCTATGGTATTCTATAGATTACAGGTAAGCTTTACTTAGCTTATCAACAAAGTCCGAAAATCAATCCAACGTAATCCGGTTAAGAAATTTAGTGTTACCTGAAAAACTGTCATTATTCCATTATCACAATATTATGATTTGTACAAATATCTACAATGGTGCGATATTTAAAAAGTGTACGACGGCCAGTACAATAATATATTATATACAACATAAACATAGCGTGAGCCATGGGAATAAAATATGAAAAAAAAAATACATAATTTACAATATTATACTATATACATAGGTGCAAATAGTGTTTGAGATTTGGGGGTGCATAAGATTTGATGTGGAGATGAAGATTTTTTCACATAATATTCCATTGTGTGGTAAAATCTTCATATTTTTAGGAGGCGCTAGACAACGGTTAATGGGGGGGTTTTATCCCCCCCAGCCCTAAGTGGAGTACCTGAGAAGGAGCAATAAGGGCCTCACTGTTTGCGGCTATGAGTCAATATTTTATATACACAGGACAACGAATACAATTTTATATTTACACAAAGTTTGTATGTTATAATATTATTTTAATCGTCTGCGTTTGAGAAAAGAGAGTGGACACGATTTTGCGAGAAATAAAACTATGAGGAAATACAGTGTAATTATATAAATGTGTGTATACTGTATATATATAATATAATATTACACGTTGAGGACAAAATATACAAACTCACGAGCACACCGGAAAACAATTTAAGATACATATAATAATAAAAAGTAATTATATACAAAACATTAAAACATAATATAATTATTATTATTTACGACGACGCGTCTAATATAATATTATGTACACGACGCTGTCGTTGTCGCGATACTATTGTGACTTACATTATATTATATTATTATGTACATGCGACAATACTATTCAATTTACTACTATACTACCAAAATATATAAAAATTATGATTATTATAACGTCATCACTGTGTCGAATCACACATATTTTATAAATTAATAATATACTCAATGGTATAATACACGACGGCGACTGTTACTGTCAATTTTGCTGCCACTGAGGCCACTGCTGATGCTGCCGATTTCGCAGTTGCTGATGTTGCTGATTTGGGCTGATCGGCTTAGAGGAATCCCATGTCGAGAGCGTTGTACAGGGCCCGGAGGTCGCTGTGGCCAGACACCCTCCAAAACGGAAAGTTCATCTGCAAATAGGTGTGAAATTTAGAAATTTAAATAGGAACTCGAGTTAATTATTAAGTTGTTGTACTCGATATAGGAATACCGATAGTTTGTATAACTGCAGTAATGGTTTGCACTTATTTTTTTATATTTAAAGAAACGTACCACTTATACAAAACTATTACAACTAGTAAAATATTTTCCCGTGACCTCGGGGGCCTATTCCTTACACTAAAATCGAGATACGCCTGTATAGCTCAGTATTTCATATTTTTTCATTATTTCCTAGGTGAAGTCAGGTTATACAACTAGTTATAATAAGTAATAATAATTATATTATTATGCTGATCATATAAGTACCTGTCGGGCCGCCCGTTCCTCTTCGGCCCCGTCGCCGATCACCACGTATGTGCACTTTCTGCCGTACCTTTGAACCACCCTGTCGAAACACGATTCCTTCGACGATCCAGCAGATGCTGCGGACCCCGCAGTTCCGCCTCCACCACCGGACTTGCCACCGCCTGTCGACGGACCTCCACTGCCACCGGAAGCCGAGTACACGTTTTCTACTGCAAAGTGTGGCCCAAGACCGTACAGAAGCAGCTTGGCCAGCGCTGGTATCAGGTGAGTTGTGGTGACCAGCACGTTGACGCAGTTGGGCCTGAGGTAATCGTAATAACAGTTCAATATTAATTTTATGTATTAGGTGCATTATTATTTATTATTTAATAACAATAACGGGAGTGAGTATAGTGATGTGCAAATTCCCGGAACTAAAATCACGAAAAATTCCCCAACCATTTTCACAAGCTCGGGAATTTATCGGGAATATTATGATATTGTTTTTTTACATCGTTCGTACGTTCCAATGTTTAATTAAACTTATAATAAGTAGGTAGTTGTAAATTATCTGAATGTTATTTTGTATATCCTAAAATATTAGAAAATGAAGACTTTTAGATGATTCCAATAACGTACCTTTTTAATTTGTATCTTTTATATAACATAAAAAAATGAAGCATACAATGAGTTTGCGTGCATTGCACTCCAAAACTAGTGCCTACTTTACCGATTTGAAACCATAAATTAACAATTTAATTAAAAATGAAAGAAAGTCGTTTTCAAGTAAATTGGATGAGAAATTCAAATGTTTTTAGAAATTTTATAGGATGAATTAGTTAGATAACTAAAGGTAATACAATGGCAAAATAATGATACTATTGAGAGTAAAATACTAAACAAATTGATATTCGCGTGATTATCTATTTATTTATCACACGGTTACACACGTTAGTGATCACTTACTAAGTACATAATATTTACACGACACGTGCTTAAAAAATTGCCTATATAAAACTCCTTGAAATAGCCAATAGTGAATCAACTTGCAAGAAGAGGAATGAGGGGTTTTGATTTGCAAGCTTGGTCATCTGGATGAGAATTTATTTTCGGTGTTTTGTATATTGGGACCTTTAAGCTTATATAGGTTTGCAAGACGAGAATGAAAATCGACAGAATATCCACAAAGGAAACATTATAAGAGCGACGACGGTCAGCTAAGGACGAGAGTAAGGTCACTGAGAATTGAGAACCGTTAACATTAAAAGTATATATTACAAAACTATATGGACTAAATGTTTACTGGACATGCTTGAGTTGTTTACAATTTATCACAGCCAACGGATCCCATACAACCGACCCATACTCAATAATAAGTCGGACAAGAGCACTGCAGAAGACATTCGATTTAAGTGAGTATCTCCTAGTCTCCAATTAAAGTAATGTATAATTGGTCATGTTATTAGTCAGGGCTTGAAATCAATTTCAAAATCGATTTTAAATATTGTTAATAATCGTTAAAAATCCACTATTAAATCAAGAGTAATATCAAGATCGAAATTGTTTTATAAAGCTATTAATAAATTAAAATAAAAATATAAATAAATAAAAATTAATTTTGTCTTCTTATGACCATTTTACATCCATTCTTAACAAAACCTTTATATGGATCGCGCAAACGAAGATCTTTCACGTATGTCTCGTAGGCATATAAATCAAAATTAAAATATTGTAAGAATATAAAACTTGAATGAAAAAAATGCATATTAAAAATCTAATAACAAATCAGGAAAATATTTAATCAATGATATTGTGCAAAGATATAAAAATCATAAAATAATAAAATCAACACATTGTTTTAAATTGAAATCAGAAAAACTAAGGTCAATAAGCAAAATTGATTTTAAAATCGAAAAATTGTATTAAGATTTCAAGCCCACGCTGTTATAAGCTATAAGCATAATAATGTTATATCTCTGAATACCTATAATGTTTACAATGAAATAATATATAAATATAAATAATGGTCTGTGTGAAATAATAATAATATTAATATATTATACACTCATGTAAACTCACCTCGAATTGATGACGTTCAAACACTTGACAGCCATCGTGAGCCAGTCGTCGGTGTGCAATTCGATGTCGCTCCGGAGTTGAAGCCAAGCGTCTCGTTTGCCGGGTCCCAGCAGTCCTATAATACAAAAATCGAAATTGTTCATAAAATATTAACTTGCAAAGGCCAATTATAATAGGAAAAAATTGGAGGGCTAAGGCGCCAAAAAAATGTCAACATTTTAATTTAAAACAAATTAATACATATTATACATAATTTATGTGTCACAACATTTTCCAGAATCTTTTTTTCCCCAAATTTGGAGGGAGAACTTTTCAGTGATAGTAAGTGGTTAGTTGTTACTTAATACTGATTACTCATAAAACTTAAAAAAGTCAACAAATATTACACATTTACACTACCTACATGATTGGTGAGAAGTGAAAATAAAACAATCACAGCTGCAGCCCATAGCAGTTGCTAACTGGGTTTTAAACTATTTTTCCAAAATTGAATATAAAAACATTGATAGGTGGGGCCCATCATCTTCTTGAAGAATAAATAAAAATAAAAAAAAAATAAAATAAATAGGTAGATCGTAGGTACTACTAAACGCCATACAAGGAAATTGATTTGGTATTATTGATTCTCGTATAAACACAACGGTCAAAATTACATTTAGGTAGTTTTGGTAAGTATACACCTAACACGTATACTTGAGTAAAACACATTATTTTGTAAGTAGGTAACCGTATACATACTCCTCAATCAAAAAATGGAGAAGTCGATATACGTTGTATAACAGTGTATACGATCGACTACACTACGGTATAATTAGTGGTGTTACTAGTTGTATTGCTCGATTATTAGCAATAATTTATAAATTGATTATTTCCTCGTATTGCGTTCAATTATTTTCAATTAATCTATATAATTTTATTTCCGAAAGTTTTCAATTTTAAAATAATCGATTATTAATAATTCAAATGTCAATCTAACGATTTCCCAGCAATATAATTACACCATTAGGTAACAGCTTGTATTATAATTACCTCCGACCGAGTTCCGGTACTGGTTGTACAACTCTTTGACCCGCCGGTACCGGAAAGCCAACTTCCGCATCCAGTCTACGCCACCACCGCCGCTGGAACCTCCACCACCGGCACCGCCCCTCAGTCCACCACCACCACCCCTCAGACCACCCGCGGACGACGGATTGGCGACGGACGCGCCCCCGCCGCCGGCACTCATCAGGTGGTGGTGTTGCTGCGGCTGCTGGTGTTGGTACGGCTGCTGCTGGTACTGCTGGTGCTGGTGGTGGTGCTGCTGCTGCTGCGGGTGCTGCTGCTGCTGGTGGTACTGCAGGTGCTGCTGGTGATTGTTGCCCGCATTGGCGCCGGTGCTGTTGAAGTGGTGCTGGTTGATGAAGTGGTGCTGGTGGTGTTGGGTGGAGGCCGTGGACGCGGAAAACCCGTCGGCTCCAAAGTCGTAGCCAGACAGGTCCTGGCCGTTGTCGTCGGACGCGGCGTCGTCGATGTGCTGCGCCTGGTCGCCGCCGCCACACTCCTGCAGCACACAACACGGTTATGAAGTAGGTAAATAATGTTATTATTTTCGTAGATATATTATTATAAATTTATAATACAACTATAGACAGCAGCGACTTCCTATACCCACATTTAAAGTTTTTTAAACCTGGAAGATGGTCGAATCACCTTAATAAAAAGGTCTATGTGGCTTATCACTAGTCCTATAGTCAATGATTTTGGCACTTGGCTACCGTTGCGATTAACATTGATTTTTTTGACATATTGTTACGGTTACTGTTATAAGATTTTAATATAAGGTGGACAAGAGAGTACCCACCACTATGATGTTGTACAGTAGTTGTCGAGTATGTCATTGTAATGGATGTGTTCGATTTTAATTTAATGATAAATCATTTTATATAGGTACTAAAAACGATTTTTAGCGGAGACTGTATGCCATCTTAGCATACTTGAATAAATAAGTAATAACCAAATTTAATAGTTAAAACCACTGAATATCAAATGTTATAAAAATGAAAAATCAAACGCTCATTAAAAATTAATGATATAGGTACTGTCCAGGAATTTTTTTTTGGTTTTGATTGTGGTAGAAAAACTCGTTGGGAATATTTTATTAATATGTCTAACCTTAGCTATAAAAATACAATTTTTATTTATTTTTAACTGAAAAATAATTTAAAAAATTGTCTTTAAATGCTTATAAAAAATTATAGTTCCTATGTACCTTTAATATATTTTAACTGCTATTATAGCAACTTACGAGGACCCTTGCATTATATTTCCAAGCTTTTTTACAAAGTGAAAATAATTTAAAAACATATTAAAAAATTTAAAAAAGTTTCATGGATATAAATAAATCAACAAGAGCCAAAATATTTCAAAAATGTTACCATATATGAAAAATGCTAGTATAAATAATATATTTTGTGAAAATATCAAGTTTCTTTACTTTATGATTTACACCAAAAGAATAAAATCGATTTTTTGAAATTTGGTTTTACGTACGAATAACCATATTATTCGTTAATTTTTTTCCCCAACGCTTTCAAAAATTACTGGGAATATTACATTTTCACCTCCCGAAAGCACCACCCAAATTGACCCCCTGATTTTTTAAAGCATGAACGGTCACCGAGTTCCGAAATGAACTGGACATGTTATACAAATGTTGTCATTGACAAAACCAATAAAATGAAGTCCCCAGTCTATAAACTGGGGACTAACTTATTCTTATCGTAAGCTTATCCTTATCCTTAACTTATGCTAAAATTAAATTAATTTGTTTGTTTTGGTGATTGTCTTATCACATTTCAACGAACACGCTGTAAACACTCTTATTTGATTTCGGCCATTTTACAGACGTCAACATTAAAGCCAAGTCAGCTAGATAGTTGTACGTCATATTATACCTATATTGTTATATATATAGGTATCTGTGGTTATATTGTCATCGTCGTTGTTATTATAAGAACGATGTATGTAGTATGTGGATCGATTACGACTTACCTCGATTTCGTTGAAAAAGAAATTCTGGTCGGCCAACGTGAATATCATCTCCTCCATACGGTACCCAAGCTGCTGCATGACTCGCTGGTCCTGTGCAAACGATAAGGGATGAACAACTATTGATGAGCATCGAGTCGATATTAATTGTAATTTTTTTTTAGGGTTGAATCACATTAAATGTATTATATTTTATTTAACTCTGATAATATTTTATAGATAAGTATAATAGTATAAAATACATCGAGTTATAAAGAATTGTATCTCAAATTTTTTCGGATATATCTATTACCTATTATAGGTATTTATATAAAAATGATCCATTTATACCAGTGTTTCCCAACACGTGGTCTGTGGGCCAGTCATAGGTGGTCCGCGGTACCTTTCTTAGTTTTCTATTAAAAATTATTTTTTTTTTTTAAACAGCGAAAAATATTTTATTTTACCGTAATATACGGTTATCTTATCGTATACAAAAATTACACTAAGGGCCGTAATTGTAAGAACGGCCCTAAGTAAATTATTAGTAAAGTTTAATAATTATATATAATAGTACACTAAAATAATAAAAATTTTCCAATAAATTTTTGTTTATTCTTGTCAATGAGCAAAAAAAAAAAAAGGTCTTCCTAGTTTGAGTAAAATTGAGGTGGTCCGCGACCTATAAAATATTGTCAAAGTGGTCCGTGGTAGTAAAACGGTTGGGAAACACTGATTTATACTCTTGAATTATATTTCTCAGTTTCAGGATAAAATTATACTATTTTGTGCCTTATTAGGATATTTGGGGAGTGTTTTGTCTTGTGTTTTTTAAAATGTGTAATTGTTTTATTTAAGTGATTTTTTTTTTTAACAGTTTCTTGGCCATTAAAATCTTAACTGTAATACTATTCTAATAACTTAAATAACTTTAACACTATATGGAATATCGTACCTTGCCATGAGCCACCGCGTATCCACCCGTTAACAACGAGTTGAACACGATGATGGTCTCGTCTAGGTCCCATACGAACACCCTGTCCAGCGGCGGGCTCTGCTGTTCGGTGGCCACCACAGCAACTGCCGCCGCCGTCGCAGACGCCGACCCAACTGGAGGGCCACCGGTTCCGAATTGCTGCTGTTGCATGTGTGGGTGGTGATGTGGGTGCGTATGGTGTGGGTGCAATATTAACGGCTGCTGCTGCTGTTGTTGCTCCTGTAGCGCCGCCGCGGCCGCAGCTGAAAGGCCACCAGCCGCTGTGGCCGAGGCCGCTCTCCGACCCCGGCCCCGACCACCACCGCAACGGCTGGTTGTTCCACCACTGACGGAGTCGTTTATGGCCACCGATGATGCCGTCCGCCTGGACTTGACAGCGGAAGGTGAAGACAACACCGCCCCCGCTGTAGGATCTACAACCACGGCAGCAGCTGCGGTGGCCGCCGCTCTCAGTTGCATCAAGGCGGGTGTAGGAGGACTATCTACGCACGATAAAAAAAAAAAATGTAATAAAATTTGAGGATGGAAAAACGACGACACTATCGTCATATCATTATTATCAATAATTATTTTTTTATTTTTAATTAATAATCATTATTCATAACACTAAGTTGACGGGGACGGTGATGACAGCAACTTCAGTTATTGGGCATCGTTGTCCGTTCGAAGTTGTTGTTTATGCAAGAGATGAGGATAAAACAATTAACAGGCACCAAATGCAACGACGTATGTATATAGTTAGAGTTAATTTTAATGAAATGCTGAAATGTTTACACTCTATGACTTGGAATGGTAGGTGGCTAGACTTGGCCAAGTTATTGAAGTATAGGACATCACCAATAGTCAAGTCACAACCATCTTCAATACCAATCGAAATGGTCGCAATTGCACGATATTTATTCACGAGGACCTGTCATCAAAGACTCTGATATTTAATAATTATCCATTAAAAGCATTCAAACAAATTTTGATGTTATTTTGGTAAAAGAGCATCCAACTCATCGATTTCTATGTCAATATTCTGGATACAAATAAATGCAATTGGAATCATCATATCAACATAAAAAAAAAATATGTATCGTTATTATATTTTTATATGAGATGTAATTCACCAGTTTCTTTTTTGAAATTTGATCAGACGTAAGAAATAACTATAATTACCTATATTATAAATCATAATATTCGAGAAAATATATTTTTCAGCTAATTCAAAGTCTAACGGTATTTACATTTATAAACATTTAAACAAATGTCATGTAATTTGAAACATTTACGCCAAAATATTCTATTTAATATGGAACTATACTATACCTATAGGTACAGACCCCAAATGAAAAATAAACCTCAGTGGAGTTATTTGAGTTTGGTAATAGCAGTGCCAAATTTAAAGCAGGCCAATTGTATTCATCATTGAGAGGCACTTTATCTCCATAATATTTAATAGGTACCTATATTTAGTAGTGTGTATAGTGTATACGGTTGAAGTATTCGTTTGACAAAACATTTTGATGATTGATATTTCTCCAAGTTTGTCATTATTGTTGTCCGGGGAGTTTTTAATATTATTCGTCATGCACAATACTTCGTTTACATTATATATTTGAACTTTGAACTTTTTAACGCATAGGTACAGTGGACAGTTTGTAAGTTTCGTGTGGCAGGCCTATAAAATGAGGAAAAATAGGAACCTCCCGCCCAAATGTACAAGCGACTAGGGACGAACGATATGAATATTATACTAACCGGATGCCGGTGGAGCTGTCAACGAAGGAACTCCGCCGCCGCCGCCGATCACCATCATCTGATGGTGGTGCTGTTGCTGCATACCGTGTTGCTGGTGAGACGCGGTCGGCACCACCGGTAACATGTGCTGCTGTTGTGGCTGCTGGTGATGGCCACCGTGGTGGTGGACGCCGTGGTGTCCCTGGCCACTGGCTCCAGCCCCGTACAGCGCCGCCGCCGCAGCATAAGCGGCAGCCGTGGCCGCAGCATCCCTGGCTGACGACGACGACGGATATCCACTGTTATCGGCTGCGGCTGCGGAAGCGGAGGTTACTACATCATCGTCGTCGTCGTCACCAGCACCAGCACCGTCACTGACGCCATGTTGCTGGTGTTGCAGGTGGTGGTGCTGCTGCGAGTGATAGTGCGGGTGAGCGAGGGCGGCAGCTGCGGTGGCGGCAGCCGTGGCCGGCGAGAACTGTTGTCGCTGTTGTTGCTGCTGTAGGTACTGCGGGTGGTGTGGATGCGTGGCCGTGAACTGCTGGTGCTGGTGCTGATGCTGTTGCTGCTGCAGATGGTGGTGTACCGCGGCGCTGGTGAGTTCGTGATGGTGATGCTGGTGATCGACGAGATGCTGTTGCTGCAGCTGCAGAGGATGATGGTGGTGGTGGTGATGTCGGGATAAGTCTTCGTGCTGCTGCTGTTGCTGCTGGTGCTGCTGATGTTGATGCTGCTGCATCAGTTGTGGATGCTGCTGGTGCTGATGTTGTTGCTGTTGGTGCTGGTGCTGGTGATGCAGCTGGAGTTGCAACTGCAAGTCTCCACTGATTTGCTGCTGCTGTTGTTCGTGAAGCAGTAGCGGTGGTGGTGGTAGTGACAGCGCTGCCGCCGCCACTGACGGATGGTGATGTTGACTGCCTACCGCGTCAGCTCCATAATAACCGGTGGCCGATGTTCCACCGGTCTGGTGCTGTGACGGGTGCGAGTGCTGGTGGTGTTGCTGCTGTTGCTGTTGTAGTTGCTGCTGCTGTTGCTGTTGCTGTTGCTGCTGCTGGTGATGTAAAAGAAGCAAGTGGTGATGGTGGTGTGGATGGAGGTGATTGCCGACGCCGCCTATCATGTCGGTGAGACCCACTGACGTCACGGAAGAGGGATAACCGTCGCCAATGCCACTATAGCCAACACCAGAAGCCGTTGTCGTCATATCGTAATCGTCCTGTTACAAACACATACAGAAATTAATAATTTAAATACAGTCAATAATCATGCCATTTTTATTTACTACTATTTTAATACCAATATTATGTGTAGTTACTGTAACAGAAATATATATTTTATTTTAAAAAAGATATATTTTACTAAAATTTAAAAGTGAAAAAGGTAAATGATTTTTTGTACTTAAAACTGAGGTGTTCAGAGTACCCGGATAACGAGTCCAAACCGGGTACCCGATATCACATTCAGTACCTCACTAATACTCGTGTTACCCGTAACAATAATTATTTTGAATTCTTAGGTAAAAAATTTTTAGGTATTTTTTAGAATTACCAATTTAAAAATTCTCATGAAATATTTTTCAAAAGTTTATACTTTTTGAATTTAAAATGTTGTTTTACAACTGAATCAACTTTACTAAACATAAATACTTAGGTACCTAATGAGATTTCTAAAATTAAATGTCTTAAATAAACCTTTTATAGTTAAATTTTTTGTAGTAACTAGATTTACAAATTAGCTAGGCATATTGAATTTTTCAATAAAAAATTATATCGATTTAAATTTTTAAATTTTTAGAATTAAAAAAATCTAAAAGTATTAAAAGAGTTTTTTCATTTGTCTGGTACCTATACTATTATACACCTTGTATAAGAAACACATAATTTTTGATACGTTATAAACTCGCAGTCTAAGTAAAAATATTATTATTTTCGTTCGTAGTTTTATACCTGTTGGCCCTCGGCGGTGGTACTCGTGGTGCTGGTTGTGATGGACGGCATCGGCACCGTCGAAGTGGACGTCGGCGCTGGTGGCGGTGGAGGAGTCGAAGATGATGAGGAGGACGTCGTTGCCGGGTCGACTTTGGTCGACCCGAGCGTGGCTGACGTTGGTGGCGGAGGCGAAGAAGACTCACCGCCACCAATGGCCACCGGCTGTCTACCCGAATCTATCATCATCATCATGTCCTCGTCGTCGTCGTCGTTCACGTCCACGTCTCCGCCGACGCCACCGTCGCCGGTGCTGTCGGCCGTCACGTTGGCAGTCGCGTCGCCACACGTACTGGCACCAACGCCACCGCCGACCACGTCGGCTTCGTCGTCCGATTCGTCCGTATCGTTCAAAAGCCGATTGGAGTCCGGTCCACTGGCGTCGGCGTTCCGCTGACCACGGCCACTCCGCCCTTGACCGCGGTTACCGTCGAGATCGTCACCGCCGACACCGACACCGCTGCCGCCGCCGCCGTCACCGTCGTCGGTGGCGTCTTCTCCGTCGTCTTCGTCGTCTTCGTCTTCGTCGTCGTCGTCGTCGTCTCCGTCGTCGTCGTTGTGATTCTGGTGGTGGTGTTGCTGGTGTTGGTGCATCCGCCGTCTGCTCCTCCTCCGCTGATCGTCGTCGTCAGCGACGACCACGTCTTCCTGTTGCAACTGTTGGTGCTGTTGCTGCTGCTGCTGCCGCACCAGCTGAAGATCAAAATCGTCGCGCATCCGACCGAACCCCGATGCCGCTCCTCGTACGCTAATTTTCGTGTGTGTCAAAATCTGTGAAAAAACCAAAAAATAAATATAACTTTTGTAGAACCACGATAACGGCCATATACGTGTCTTATCTTAACGTGTTCACTGTTCAGAGTGTATAAAAAATATAAAAGAGGCTTCATTGATTTAAAATTTTAAAACTATCATAACTAACATCAAAATTAAAATATAAAATTACTTTGACCTATCTAGATACCCTAGATAATAGTATATTACCTTTTAGTTTGATAATAGTTCACAATACATTCTAATATTAGAAGTAACACGGTAAATAGATGCATCTTAACATAAAAATTGCCATGTTATATGCATTAGGAATACAGAGATAACACATATCATTTATGTATAACGTATACTATACACCGGTAAAACATACTGTAATCCGATTAATTGATATATAGTAGGTAGTATATAGATAATAGGATAAAAAACTGACAAATGTTATCATCTCTAACTGTGTAATAAAATATTATATTTTTATCCTATCGATTTTACTATAATATTTCTTATATTATTTATATATTTAGAAGAAAATAACATTTATTTAGTACTTTAGTTTTTTTGGTTATTTTTGTTACACACTTTATGGCGTATGCTATAGACTAAAAAAATAAAAACAAATAAAAAGAATTTCAAACTAGTTTTTTAAAATAGTTATTAGTACTTTTTCCTTTATTTTAAGTATTTTTTAAGGTTTTATAGAGCTAAAACATCCAAACTAATACTAACTATAATAATAACACTAAGCCTAATGTTTAATATGCTTATAAATTATACTGACTGATGCTAATAGGAGGAATTCTAATTTTAGGGTGGGGTGAACTATATTTTAACTAACCACACCATTTATCCATTATAAGTTTAAATTATCTTCGTTCCCTATTATACATCATATATATTACCAGTTTTGCAATCAACAATGTTATGATACAATATTTAAATTGTGGTAGATTAATAACAATGAATCGTAACATTATTTTTATTCTATTTTTTACTTAAAATATAGGTGAGTAACCTTCCACCTTACACATACATAGTATTATATTATGTAATAATTAATAATAAAAAATACAATATTTTTATTTCCAGAATGAGATGACCAAGGATAGTTGAGTAGACCAAGGATTAAAATAAATAATTTAAGACAATAAAAATTAATGATTTCAAAAGTTAAATCCAAGATTAATCCAGTTTATAAATTGTTTTCATATAATAGCACATCGTTGAATGTGTATCAATATTACATCCTACACAATAACAATACTCGTCAATCAATACAATGTATAACTTTTTTGAAGCATGGGTTTTTTTATGAGTTAAGTAAGCTTTCCTCCAAATCTTCACCTATGCTGTTGAATATTAATAAGGTATAGGGTCCGGGGCATTAACAAATTAAAAAGTTAATATCTTAAAAGTTTTAAGTTAACTACTTTAATTCTCTGTTGATATAGATAAATAATCCATCAATTTAAAATTAAAAATGTTTTTTAAATGTTTGTTTTTATGGTTTTATACATTAATTACTTTATATAGTTGAACTGATATTATCTAATATGTAAGAATTATAATCAGGGTATATAACGTTATAATAACGTTATATTTGATAAAAAAAAAAAAACTATTGAAATTTGTAAATGTAATTATAACAGAAAGCGATAATCAAAAATAATTAAATACCGCAAAACAAAACATAACGATTAACACAATATATTATAATATATCATTAAACAAAACATAATGCAAAACATAATCTATAGAATACCATTAAACGAAATATAGCGTAAAACATAATTTATAGAATTTCATTAAACGAAATATAACGCAACTCGAAATAATTTAAAATCCATTTATTTAAAAGTAATATTTGTTTCGTAGAAATATTTATTTCATGTAAACGGACATTAGAATTGATTATATTATATTCCGTATCTGGGCCATTACCTACCCGAATTAGTTATTATTAATAAATTTAATAGGTATTAACATTTAACACTATTCTAAATAACAATAAATTCAAAAATTGTGTAACTCTTTAATGTAAATAACATAAACGAAATTATTTTTAAAAATGCAAGCCCTGATCCCAGCAATCAGTTGATTATAATTTATTATACTATTATAGTAATAAATATACCTAATAAGTAATAACTCTACATTAATTTTTTGTTATGTTTCTTGATCAATATAATATTGTATACTATAATGTATATAAGATACAGATTGGCACAAAATACTCTTAATGATCTATTATAGCGGTATACTATATTTTATTAAAAAAGTGGATTAACTTTTTTAAACTGTGTTAAGTTAATACTTTTTTGAATATCAACTTTAAGCAGCTTAGAGAGTTAAATTTATTATTTATTAACTATTCTCCACTAACTTAACCGTCTGATGTCCACATACCTACCTTAACTTAACTTAACTTGTTCTTATTAACTATTGTGAAATACCTATTTGTCTGTAATCATACAAATTATATTCGTATACAAATTATAAGTGTGTTAACTTAATTGATTGTATAGGTAATACCTAATATTTAAGTTGCATTGACAAAAAACTTAACCTTCTAGGTATATTGTAATATAGTTTTATAAACTGATTTCACATTCAAATTCGACGCATCAAAATCAATTATAAATATATAAGATAAAACTTTATGACTGCAGCCATTGATAAGTTACAATAGGCTATATTATGCCAGTGATTTTACTACTACATTAAAACGTACTAATATGTAATGAAGTTGGCTCCTCGACTTGATGCAAACAATATTGTATAAATAAATTGTTAACAGGTGATATTGTAAAATCAATCCCCAAATTTGCCCCATTGATTGTTAAGTCAAACATTTGTGTACAATTTGTTAAGAAGCGCGGTCGGACATTAGTGTGCGTGGGAGGAGGTGTGAAGTTAAGTGAAATATACCCTCAAAATGTATTTTTGACTTAATGGCTAAGGGGTGGGCGTTTCCAAATTCTAGGGGCTAGGATATTTACATTCCATCCCTGCGAATTTACAATATTGTTTGCAATAAGTTTGCAATAAGTTTGAACATTCTTGCATAGTCGGGGGACCCCAACTTCAAGTACATCTAAGCTATAGGTAACAGGTACCTATACACAATATATTTTTATTTTTATACTGCGGGTGCAGTGTCTGCCATAAATATAAATACTGTAATCGTGCGAATGGATATTATTATATCCTGTGAGTTAATTACCTACTATTTACAGTAGTGGTATAAAAATTTGTGAACGTCAGCAAGGCGGCCACTCACAGGAAACGGAGATGAAAAATTGCACTTCGATGTCGTGCGTAAATCGCCTTATAGACGGTGGTGCCGGAAGTCGACGATAACCGCATCAAAAATGTACATAAGCGGATTACACGACGGTGCGCGCAGGAAACGAAAGATTATAATATATAGCAGGCGTTATAAATTATATAGGTAGGTACATCGCAGTATTACAACTTTATAAGTCTTATAACTTACTATTATTTAATGGTGTACTCGTCGGAGGTCGTTTATTGTTTGCGAGATTATATTGTGCCTAATGCTGCGAAAGACACTTAGATTCGGAGATCACTGTGAATACCCGTGACGACGTTCACTTTAATAATATTATATTATATTTGTGTATAATACCCCTTTGTAACAAGTTGAGATAATATTATAGCACTTTGAGAAAAATCAAACTTTTAGCTATATATCATTAGCTGATTTCCAGGCATTTGTGTAGTAGTTGATCTACTATACCTTTTAATTGTAAGTGTAATTCGAGAAAATTAAACTTTTAGCTAGGTATGACATCTGATTTTGAGGCATTCGTGTAGCAGGTGACTTACTATACCTACCATTTTTAATTGTAAGTGTATAGTGTATGGTCGTGATCTATCAAATGTTATCAATATTTCTTAACAGTTACCAATTTACTATCAAGCATATTATATTTTGTAGTATGCATGATGTCATGGTACAACATACTTAAAAAATCTTACTTCGATGTCTTATCAAAATTTGGTGGAGCCGTGGAGGTCAGCTTGTAAATTATAACAAATATTTATCCGATTTATTATATGCAGATTATGCAAAATATAAAAAGTGACAAAAAAAGGCATTATATTATAAAAACATTTAAAAAATGTAATAGGTTTTCACCAATTACCTAATAAGTGTTAAAAAAAATGTACAACCATAATATATCAATATATCTCTGCTTCAATAAAACATCTTATAGGTAAAGAGTTCATGGACTGGAATTAAAATGTTTTTGTACATAGAAAATGACATATGTGAGATCTTTCTAGTCATTACAAATACTTTTAAACATAACATCGACAATGCACCCTCTTCGAAAGCTGTATCGATTTTCATTGTAAATACGAATACAATTATTGTGATCAATTGATAATTTAAGAAAATATATAAAAAGGGGAAAAAGCAAAATAATGTTTAACTATTAGCAAACATTTACTTTTATATAAGATATTATATTTTGTCTATCTTTACCTAAAACAAAAAGGCATTTTCCTTCAAATCCAAACACTATTAATAAATACATTATATTATGTACGTATACTAATTTTGTGGCAGATCACCTTTATCAAATAAATATATCGTACCTATAAAAGGTTAGGTACACGAATTCCCTAATAAACTTACCTAATAATTATTAGCATATTTAAAAAAAAAAATTCAATATGTGTTATATCATTATGCCATAGCGTAATTTAAGCCGCAAAAATTGTCCATAGTTATTTTAAAACTCGTATCAATGTATTAATTTAATGTGGCATACATGACTAACAAATTTATTTTTTTTTACCACATAATTAAAATTGACAATGTGAAATATTATTACAAGTTATTCTTCAAAAATGCAGTAACTGCAGTGTTCTTAGTCATACATTATGAATATAAAAAAAAACTGCATAAGCGTAATATA